ATGGTTTCAATTCTCTCCAGAATAGGGTTGTATATAAGAGAGCCCTACAAACCCTGCTAAGAGATCTGTTCAAATGAATATAATTCAGGTTAAGCCATAGGATAAAAAATACTTAAATCTGCTTCTGATATTTTTTACCCTTTTTCGAAACCGTTTATAAAATAAACCAGCCCAAATTGTTTAAAAACAACGAGATAATGTGTTTTGTCTCATATAATAAGAAGAATGAAAGAAAGAAAGAAAGAAAGAAATGAAAGAAAGAAGGAAAGAAAGAAAGAAAGAAAGAAAGAAAGAAAGAAAGAAAGAAAGAAAGAAAGAAAGAAAGAAAGAAAGAAAGAAAGAAAGAAAGAAAGAAAGAAAGAAAGAAAGAAAGAAAGAAAGAAAGAAAGAAAGAAAGAAAGAAAGAAAGAAAGAAAGAAAGAAAGAAAGAAAGAAAGAAAGAAACGATATTTCAGTTTGTGAATATTTTATTGAACATAAACGAAATAGTATATATTATATAATATTTATTCTTAAAATATTTATAATATACCACTTCTTTCGATATGAATTTTAACCTTGGAGTTCTTCGATAAATAATTAATTAGTGATTAGGTTAGAGGTTAGTGTTGTTAAACGGCTCGCGATGTAAGCAGATTTTCTGAAACGGCTAGCTCATATTTCAGCCAGAAAAATATGTCCCGAACCTCTGGATTGCGCTAATAGATGCCCAAACCTTAGTGACATCTATGACCAAAATCTTCAGGCTTGCGTAACGTTTTACGGATAAAATAACCGAGTTAGCCGAAAAACCGGCTCACATTAAGCCTTTTAACAACACTAGATTAAGGTAGAGGGTTTACTAAGTATGTAATATACAATATTTTATTTTGTTTTAATTTTTCTCGCTATAGAACAAAGATATTATGATAGTATATATATATCAAAATACAGAAGTTATCAGTACAAATGGTATTTACCCCATATTTTAAAAAAATATTTCATAACTATCGCTTACCCAAGTTAGCGTATGAAATTTTTGGCAGTAAGTGAGTCTTGCAAATATTTTAATTGTGGCCGGGTCGGTTTCGGGCCGGGTCGGTTTCGGGCCGGGTACGGCCGAGCCCAACTTTGCAGATCTCTAATACAAATCAATATTATTATTTAGAGAAATAGGCATAATTTTTTTTTTTTTAAATGTGCTACTATTAACCTAATTCTTATATGCTTGTATGCCAAAAAATTGGAACCGGTTTTAGAAAGTTTAAACCGAACTTATATTTGTCAGGAAAACATTTATATAACCGATCCGTCAATTTTACTTTAAATGTAAAAGCACTATCCGACTACAAAAAAATTCGGCCAAACTAGAATAATGTCTGTCCGATAATTTGATCAAATAAATCGGTTTCTGAGATCTGTTATATTTACATAGATTTTTAAAAAAATCTTTACAAGTGTCAACTCTGAAATTTTCATTTTTTCTTTCTCCTTTTCATTCTTATCTCTTTCCTCTTTCCTTCTTTGTGTATACATTATTTCTTAATTGATGTCTCAAGGTTTTTTGATAGCGTACAAATGCCAAACTTCGGCATATAATAGGATTGCTATTATTTTTTATATTATATTTTTTACAAGTTACATCGATTTGATCTAAATAATTTATGTCATTGTCATAATTAGAAATTTTTATTTTTTTGTCAAAAAAAAAATAAAGTTTAATAAAACTCAAGTAATCTTCATAACCATCTATTTTATTTACATCATATAATTAGGCAATAAACCCCGCAAAACTCTATGATATACTCCCATCCAATCGCAGAACTCCTCGCTATAACTCTTATCCAATCACGATTCCCAGCAATTTATACATAAATAAGTTCGGTTTCTTTCAACAAAAATATGGCCAAAAAATGTGGTGGCTTATAAATTATAATTAAATACAGGATAGGAACTCTTATTATAACGAAAAAAAACGGTGATTATTTATCGAGCTCTTAATCTTATTAATATAATATACAAAAAAATTTATAATAAATTTAGGAGAGTTCCCAACATTTGCAATTTTTGCTTCTTATTATTTCTTACTAAATAGTGGAGTTTCTTCAAAATACTTAAAAATTTTTGTAAAATCTAATATTAAAAATCTAAGATTTATTTTGTAAACTGGTATAGATGGGTAAAGGCTGAAAAATTTTCTCATTCGTCAAAATCTGCAGGGGACAAGGTACGGAAGAAAAGCATTGAGACTCATCTATTCCTGCTTTCTTCACTCCTGAACCTATATTTTGAAACAGCAATAAACCCTGATGAGATGATACCTTTTCAGCTAAAAAATAAATCAATTATTAACAACCAATTATAACAACTAAACCAAAGCAAAAAATGGTCTCTTTATTATTTATTGGTCCCCAATAATGGCAGCCAGATTTTATTAAAGAACTGTAGGTGTTAAAATATAAAAATTTGGAGTTTTTATTTATATAAGAAAATTTAATACTTTTCTGAGAAAAAAAAACATGAAATATCTTTCTTTTTCCCTTATTTTTTTTATACCTTATGACATTTTTTCTTAAATTCCAAAAAAATGGATGGGAATGGAAGGATTATAAAACATCTGGCAAATTGTCTGATATTCTCCTTTTTTCCTTTACAATCTTAATCTAAACTTTACTTTTAAAAAAAAATAAAATTATTTTAACAAATCGTAAGCACTTTAATAAATTATTTACAAAATTTGAGAAAGTAAAAATTTTAAAATTTTATTTACATTATAAAATTTTTTTTTGTAAATTAAATATAAAATGGAATTAATTGATTCTAAAGATAGAAAAGAATTTAATCAATAAATTTAATTACAAGCTGATTAAAAAAAAATATGTTTAAAGAGAAAGGAAGGACGTTTTAAAAATTAATTTAAGTTTAAAAAGATATATTTTTGTTTTTTAAAGAAAAAAAAAATGAAATTATTATATTTTCTAATTATTAAAAATCAAATTTATAAATTTTTATTTTAGGTAAACACAGGGGGAAAAAATGATGAACTGTAATTAATTCAGAGTATTGATCTCAAATTCTCAACCGGCTACCCCATGCTTAAATCTTGACTCTTTGTAATTTTGTTTATATATTATATAGATATATACATGATATTTTGTCGAGTTGATATGGCAAGTGGGGTTGTTGAACCATGTTTTATTTATTGATATAAAATACTTATCTAGACTGATTGATATATATATAATGCATTTTGAAGCGTTGTTGAATTCAATCTGCTCGTGGTGACTATAATTGGGTAATGGCTAATGCCGGCTAAATATTCAAGCGCCTACCGGAGAAAATTTCTTTACCAAAAAGGCGTTTTAATTCGTATTAGATTCCTTCAAGTTTGCCATGCTATCTTTTTAAGAAAACCTTCCTAGGCCAAAGTGATAGTCTTCGGCTAAAAAAACTCGGTATGCTGGCTAAAATATGGTTTAAACGGTTAAAAGTTTAGTATTTACCCAAACTATACTTGTTTGTCATTCCAAAATATAATTTTTTTTTAATATTATAAATGAAACTCAATTTATTTTTTTTTTACAAAAGTTTCCTAAAAAATTTGAATGGAAATAATTTATATGCCAAGAAAAAAAAATGACGTGCCGCCATCTGATTCGTTAATGATACACATTTAAATGAATGAATCACAGTCTAGTTAGTAGTGTCATTGTTTTTTTTTCTTTCTTTTGATCAATGACCTGTGGTACCATATTTTCTCTGATACCAGCCTCATCAGCAAGGGTTAAAAGGCCAGAGATTTATGGGTTAGGGTCTATATATATATGTATCTTTAAAAAATAATGGCGGAATAGGTACCTATTTACGTTTTTGAAATTTCAAATATGATAATAAATAACCAGAAGGGAGAAGTCACCATCGCCTCACTTACCATAACCGCCCAAAATTCAATTTGTTTCGATCAAAGCCCAATAAGCCTGCCGGTCTATAAATTTAAAACTAAGATCAATTTCTTCATATCCCAACCCCAGTGAAATTTTTACTGAAAGCGAAAACATTTACGGCCCATTGAAAAAAAATTAAACACGAGGATCTAAGCCGTCACCTTACAAGTTAGTTGTGGAGAGATGATCAAATCAAAGTAGGGGCAGAAAAATATAAACCATTTTAAAAACATTAAGTATATATTTTGGAGATATGTGTATTATTAATTTATATAATCGTTACAAATATTTTTCGAATTTTTAAAATACGATTAAATATGATTGGCACAAGGGATTTCTTTTTAAAAATTTTATTATCATTTCTTTTATCATCATCTATAAAAGAGAGAAAATTTAAAGATAAATTAAGCAACTTATTTTGGATTTAACTCATTCACGTGTAAAAAATATGGAAGAAATAAAATTAGCATCTCAAACACCATTAATTTTATTTTAAGGGGAAAAAAATAATTTTTTTTAGATATTTAAGTCTTATAAATCAGAAGAAAGTAAATTTTAATCCTATATAAATGAAATAATTAATCCCTTCCCAAAACCATACTTATCTAAATTATGCGTCGTATAAAAAATTTTTTGTATCTATTTTATTTATTTTCTTTCAATATAAACTATGTAATAATGTATATAATATGATACATTCATATATAATAATAAAAAAAATATATTTTTGTGTTTAGAAATACGAATTAGATAAATGTATACTTTTTTTTCTTCTTTTGTAAATTGTGGGTACAATAATTTAAAAAAACACAAGCGAATCAAGAATATATGCCTTCTATAAAGGCGCATGGCATCAAATAATTTCTAAGAGTAAAAATATATGGATAATTTTCATGTAAGTGGCATAAAAAAAATGAATTTTATCATTTTTATGCCTTTTTGGTGATTTAAATTTTTCTTCCACAAAAAAAAAACAAATCACCAAAAATTAGCAATTCATAAATGTATATTTATTTTCTTACAAAATTTTTAGTCATAAAAATTAGGTTAGAAAAATACATGTCATCAAAAACATCAAAAAAAATTAAATATTGGGGATAAATTTTAGTTGCACAACAAGATAAATAATTATAATTTTTATATAAAAAAAAATATATATTTAAAAATTCTAAATTTAAAATAAAAGGAGTGATTGTTGAAACTGACAAGAAGAATAATAAGTTAACAGATTAATATTAGTAATAAAATTATAAGGGTAAAAAAAACTATTTAACATCATTTAACGATTAAAATTTTTTGTTTTATTAAAGAGATCCATCCATGGTTTTAAAAAATAAAATTTAACAAAAAAATTCCTCAATATAATATGAGCCGACTATTTTTCCCTTTCCTATCATTGTTGCATTTCTTCGTTCATCTCACTGGGTTTCAACATACCTAATAAAATAAAGTATTTGTATATTTTATTCATTTCACGGAGAAAGATTTGATTGAGTTAAAAATTGAGGCTGATACTCACAATAACTTTTTCGATCATGGGAATTATTTCGAAATATAGTCGGAATTAAATTCCTTAAATGGCTATAATAGAGTCATATAATAATGATTTTAGATAAATATTTTCTAAAAATATATAAAAATGAAATGGAGTGTATTTTGGAATTTTTAAAAGTGGCCATATCTCAGGAAGCAACCGAGTTGAAAATTAAAATCATATATTTTTAACAAGTTAAGTTTATATACATACTAATGATTGTACAAATTTCAATAAAAATAGAAACAATTATAATTTTACATTTTTGAAATAATAAACTTTAAGTTTGAAATAATTAAAAAGTAAAATGCAATATGTAATATTGTTAAATATCAAAGACAAATCCAAAAAAATATAAACTAGAGACATAAGTGTAAAGATCGAAAAATCTGGCAAGATTTTGTAAGAATTAAGAAAACAGGCAATTTTTCATTTTTAAAACAATAATTTAATAATATTTCAGAATTAATTTATTATTTTACCAGGGATAACGGAAATCTGGGCCAGTTTCTCCATTTGAGCCTTTTTAATGGAGGCCTCCTTTTCACTCAGATACAAATCACTATCGTCGCTACCAGAATATTCCTGTTAAATATTTATTTTTTTTTAAAAAAAAACGATAATTTGTATTTTGAGAAAGACAAATTTCATCTTTTACTTATAAGATTAGGATTATAGTGCTAAGATATAGTTAAAAAAAAAGGATTCGTCCAAAAAGTCCATTTAAGTAAAAGGACAGCCAAAAAATTTCAAAAAAAGTGGTCAGCCGTGGATTGATTTGGCCGACAAAATAACGAGTAAACCGTTCCTGATGAACACCTTAAAGTCGTAGATACGATACGTATTTAAAATAATTATAAATTGTGTACACAAAACGTACCCTTATTTGAATCAAAAAATCGCGCAAGTGTTCTTTGAAGGCCGCAAGGTCATGGTTCAAACTCAAAAATCCCTGGATAGTAACGTTAAGCTGGGCACTGTATTTAAATAAATATCGAATACATTACATTTCAAATGGTAATATTCAATATGTTTTTTGATTTAAGGGGGATCAGATTTATTTATAATTACCCCTCGAGTTGAAAAGATGAAATGGGGGTATGGGCTACAATTACACCCATATAATATTTCGGAATAATTATCATCACAAAGCAAAGTTCTTATATATTTTGACCTAGGCTTTACATTTCGTGTAATTTTATTAGGATTTTAAGTATCAAAACTTAGCATAAAATGTATAGTGAGTGAGATTGAGCCCTTTAAAAGTGGGGGAATAAATAAAGCCCATCTTACACATTCGTGGGTTACAAAGCTTTCCATTTCGAGAGACAAAATTTTGGAGTTATATCATTGCACTGTTCAAGTGAAGTAAATATTTATTTTGAATTGTAAACTCGTTAAGATGGGGGAAAGCGGTCTGAAGGAGCTTGTAAACGAACCGTCGTACGTATTCGATGTTAGATTGGGCGTAATCCGTTCCAACAGGAGAGGTAACTAGGGTCGGATCGAGATTCACTGATATTTTTCCTTTCTCCAGTAAGCCGAAAATATGGGCTAATATGGCCGATTGAGCCGGGAGATCTAAAAAAGTATTTTTATATTTAAAAAAAAATCTATTTTTAAAAAGCGCGTATACACTTCCCTGCATTAATATTTTGAAATGCCCTCTGTATTCTATAAAAAAAACCAAATTATCTAACTTTTCTGGAATGTTTATATAATTATTTAGCTCTTTTAGGAATAAAAATATAAAATTGATTTAACCACGAAAAAGTACAAAACAGAGGAAATAATATAATGACTTACCGGCTGTAAGTGAGGTATCTGAAACCACGGCAAACAAATGTTCTAGGATGGTGGTGTAGAAGTTCTGGTAAAAGCATTGAGCCACCCTAGATTCGGATCGACTTTCTATATTTTTGAGCAAGCTCATGAGTATATCGAGGCCTGTAGAGGGATTAGGTGAATAATTTAAAAGATTTCGTTATGTCACTTATAGTGAATATATATATATAGGTAAAAAAAATGTATCTTACTTATCTCGGCCACGTTTCTCATAGTATGCTTAATGCCCCAAACAATGGAATCGAAAATCAATTTGAATCTAGGTCCGCCTGCTGGTTGGGTTAGATCGAAAGATAAAACGGCTTTGTACTCCATTTCCGTTTGTCCATCTACAGGGGGAAACGGCTTATTGGGAGAAGGGGATCCTTATAAATTAAATAAAAAGTATTTCATATACATTATGTAAAGTGAATATAGATAGAGATCCTAAATACCATAAGAATGATAATAAAGCAGCCTTTCAATTACTTTGAACTTCTAAAGTACTACATATCAAGCCTTGCCATCTTTTAAAGTAATTTAACCGAGAACATTCTAAAAAGCTTATAAATCAACATCAATATATCTTATACCATTAGTTAAAGAGCTTGGGTCGGGTCCTGGGGGTAGCAACTGTTGAACCACGACTTTCAGGAGCTCGTAAAAGTTAGTTCTATGCTCGGGCCAGTCAGTGAAATTCCCGCTTATCATCGAGAGCGTAGGTTCAAATACGGCCCCAATCACGGCGGGCAGGATGGTTGATAGAACGGGGCTAAGTGGGCCAGTCGTCGAGCCTGGACTATAACCGGTAGGCCCACCTAGTTTGGCTAAATTTAAAAAAATTCGATAAATTAATTTTAATGTTTGGAAACAAATTTTAATATATAAAGAAACTGAATGTAAAAAAAACTTACCCAAAACAGTTGTAACACTTGACAAGACCTCTGGTTCTCTAACCTCCGAGGGATCAGTGCTGTATGAAGGCAGCATAGCTTCGAGTAATGGGGATACGAAGTTTTCTAAAATCTAAAAAAAATAATAATACAATGCAAATTATACGCTTAATCAGCTTCTCCACAAATTAAAAAAAAATTAATTATTTGTACAACCCGGATTTTTTTTTTCAAAAATTTTTTCCGGCCCGGCTCGTGTTTTTTTTTTAAATTTTTTCCGGCCCGATCCGAATTTAAATTTTTTTTTAAATATATTTTATTTATTTTGATTCTTACAGCTAAAAAATAGCGATTTCAAATATTTGATTTTAAAATATAGGGCCCGGCCTGGATATCTTTTTCAAAAATTTTTCAGGCCCAGCCCGGGTTTAGGGCAGGACCTGTTGGTCTCTGAATATCGGCTCAAGATTCGTTTATAAAAACAAATCCGTTACAAATACCTAAAAAATTATTTTTTTAAATGCCCAATTAACATACAGCAAGATATGAAACAAATACAATACTTTTTTTTTTAAATATTCACAAATTTTTCTTACATTTATAATATATTTCAAAAAAAATATGTTTTTTTTGCCTGAGCCCTAATGTCAGATACGCCAATATAGTTTTATTGCCGATATTGACTAATTGTATCAATGCATCTCACATTATTACAGTCTTTTTAGTGACATATTGCAACTTAACCCAAACTCGAATCCTTTTTTAAAATGTTAAATAACTTTTTTTTCAAAAATATTAAATTTTCATTTATCTTACATATATAAAGCTATATTAAAATTAGGTATAAAAAAATGCAAATTATTTTAAAAAAAATATAACATAATTTTGTATTTATTTTTCCAATTATAAAAGCATAATCACAAGGTAAAAAAATTAATCGCAAGTGGCAAATGCAGTGTCAATTAGAGATCTGCAAAGTGTCGGACCTTGGAAATTTTATTAAATATATCTAAATTTATCAATTTTATACTGAATTTTTTATGTAAAATAAAAAAAATTTTATTTAATTTATTGAAACTAAATGCTATATTAACACATGTCTTTTATTTTAAGTGATTATAAAAATTAATTTCTATATTTAAATAAATTCGATAAATTTTTTACAATAAATTTCGGGTTCAGGCCGGACTGGCAAAACTTTTTTAAAAAAAATTTCGGACCGGGTTTGAAAAATTACTCACTAGTGTAAATGAGCATAAAAAAGCAATATTTTAAGTTAAACCACTCAATTTTTGTAAGATATTACAATAATTTGCTTATATTCTAATAGGGATGTGCCGATATTAAATATCAGATCGGCACCAATATTTAATATCGGATCAGGCCGATACCTGTAAAAACCGATCCGATCTTTTTACTTTTCTATATTTTGTTATTTTATTTTACATTAATAATATTTTCTAAATAATTCGAACAATGAAAATGCAACAACACCCCATAAATTTTATTCATTTTTTAATATAGATTTACGGTATTTTAAAAGTTTTTTTTTTATATAAAAATAGAAAGGAACACCCAAAGTTTTATTTATTTTAAATATTTTGAAAATAATAACGCCAATTTTATTATTTATACTTTAAATAAGATAACTTTTTTAAATATGGTATCTGAATTATGGAAATATTTTATTTAAAAAAATCCAATATATTATTAAATATATTTATTTTATCTATTATAAAATATAATTTTTTTTGAATTATTGTAGAAATGAAAAAAATCAAATTAAATGCATAATGATTTTTTGCATAAAAAATATTGATTTCTTAATTAGGTTCAAAGGGAGGTCGTGAAAAATCAATATAAATATCGGATCGGGTTTAAACCAATAATATCGGATAGGTGAAAAATATGTGGAGCAGTGCTCTATTCTAATTATCTGATGTTTCTGTTATTTTTAATAAAATCTTTATTTAGGGCTCCTGTAAAATTATGAGAAGTTTTTAAAATGATATTTTTAGAAAACACTTACGAGTTTGGGATCACTGGCGACTCCTATCCAAGCAGAAATGAGCCTCAATATATCCTTCTTGATAGCCCTCATACCCTGAACCAGGGGTTGCTTATTCACGAGTGGCCCGTTGGCCGTGAAGGCTTGCAAAATGTTGTTGTTCATGACTTGATACAGATTCAACATGTCGAGATATATTTTAGCGAGCTGAGGGAAAAAAAATAGATTTTAAATAAATTGTGAGTTATTTTTTTATTGGAGAAGGAAGGAAATATCTAATAAATCCATTTAATTTACTTGGGAAACGTAGGCGTGTTCCAGAGACTTGCAGGCCTTGATGTTAGTTTTAAGGATGTTCCCTAGTTGTTTTACAATGTTCGGATCTTTCAATATTTCGACATTCTTGGAGGATCATTATTTAATTTGTTTTTTTTTTAAATTTTACAAATATATTATATTTATATAAATTCAAAAAAAAAAATCTTTTTGGGGCGAATAAAACAACATCCTTAACAAAAAGAATAAACATATTAAAAATGATTAATATCTCATGAAAGCTTGATTTTTTTAATCAAACCACAAATGAATAAATTTTTATGAGTACCTCATTAGATTACAATAACTAAATATTATTTGTATACTCTGGTTAAAAAAACCCGCCTAATTATCGAGTGGGTGGAATCAAGCAGGCTCCTTATTCAAAAGCCAGAAAAATTAGCAATTAGTTAAAAAAATCTGTATGTCAGAACTCAAATATACAAGAATCCATAAATAAAAACCTTAGAAGCCTCTTCAACGATCTCGTCCCAAGCCTGATTGGGAAGTACCATATATTTCTGTATAAGGGCTTCCTGGTTGTTGCTGACTGGGCTCCCGAGAGAGCCTATCCCGTTACTAGCCGGGCTGTTCAGGTTCAAACCCGCCCCAGTGTGCTGACTACCAAACGGGTTTACGTTGAGAAGGCTGTTGGGAAGGGAGGAGGCTGCCGATATCATCATGCCCACAGCTTCGTAAAAAGTGTGGACTTGCTGGGAGGATAGGTCGCATATTATGTGACTCGTGTTAGATAGGATTTCTTCCACGAAGGGCTGAATTTCTCCTGGTTGAATCTATGATAACATATTTTAAATGAATGACAAGATAATATGAAAGAAGGAACATTTTAAAAGAGTTGGTGGTATAGTAAAATAATTTTTTCGCCTCAATAACAAATATTAATTAGTGTTACAAAAATCAACTCAGCCAATCATAAGCTGTAAAAAAAATCAGCACATCTTGAGGCGCAACCAACGTAAAATATTTGCTTGGGGTTTAGTACTTTGGGAGTCGGTCAAAATAAAACGATTTATCAATCCTGATCACAGTCAAGAGACGAATTATTCATTATTGGTCAGCTAAAAAGTCAATTATGTTTATTCGATAGTTTTACGCTTGGTTTCCATTCTAAATAGCTAAAAAATTGGGAATATTTCTTATATATTCATGAAAAATTTTTGAATCGATATCGATAACAAAAGGTAATACCTATATTTAAATTTAAAAAAAAAAATTGCAAATCGCTACAGAATTAGCGGTGTTGACCGCCTAGTGGACCGAGAAATGGTGAAAAAGGAATTAGTGACCATATGCAAAGGCAAAGGAATTCGAAGATGGATTTTATCCCAAAATATAATACATACATACATATTTTGAAAATTTAGAAAAGAGAAAAAAAAATAAAATAGAATTTTGTAATTATTGATGATTCAAATATACTATACCAGAATAAAATGTCTCCTGCACTTGTGCGCTATCTTGATAAACGTGTCACACGCCATATCTTGCACTCCCTCGTGCGTTTCTATTATGTTATTGGGTAAAATGTGCAAAAATTAAATGTTAGAAATAATTATACTTTGCCGCCTTAACTTTAAAAAGCCTCACGTTGACGCTAAATTTTAGGGCATCTACTATATTATCATAACCAGGTCCGGAGCTGGTCAATTGACCAGTCAAATAAGGGCAAATGATAGGGAGTATAACTTGACTGGTCAAATATTATCATTACCGTTTCATATATCACCTGAAATGTATCTATAAGAGTTTTTTTATAAAAAAGGATATGCCCAATTTATAACTTACCCCTATTCATGAGTATTGGTGGGAACTAAACTTTCCTAGATAAAAGCTTGTGAAGCGAAGGTTGCTGATATTACATGTCCCACCACTCTATTGTTTAAGATGAGTAGGGCAATACCTAGAATAAGAGCCTTATAATGTTTATGGTAATGACGCTGGTTTCCGTATTATGTTCTTAGGTATCCAGGAATCGCCATGCAACAGAACAAAAGCTGCTTAGAGAATATTAAAATCCAAATAGGTGCCACCGCGAGCATTACAATCATTTTCTTCAGGATCATGTAACAGCAATTATTCAATTCACATTATATTATTTTTTTAAAAAAATAGTCTAAAAGTATATACATAAGTGCAAGTAGTTTCCTGCCTACAGAAACCAAAATGCCATATTATCTACTTTAAGTTAGGATTAGTTTAATGAGATGGGTTTCTCCACTAATTAGTGTACGCAACAATTACAAATTTGCAAGAGAGCCTAGAAGGGTCCGTCGTCGAAGAAACTGTTTGCGATACCCGAAAGAGAAATAGCTGGTCATATCTTAATTTGTACTAAGTAAAAAAAATAATAAGATGATCTTTTAAAACAACATATTATTCAATTGTGCCAAACCTAATATTTTTAATGCAGCTTACTTGTTAGATCACCTATATCAAGAATAACATCTCACAAATAATGAATTCGATGAAGCTTGTGATATGATAAAAAGAACCAATATTATGCAAGAATGATGAAAATCAAGCCGATATAAAGAAAATATGTGTATGGAAGAATCCATAATCGTTAATCAGATTTGGGAATCGAACTGGTGGTGGGGGGGGGGGGAGCTTCAGCCACGTTGACCTTTAAGGGAAGAATCATATATCTTTATAACCTTTCCAGCTTCTTCAGAAGAAATTGGTCCATCTGGGGTAATATTCATACAAATAACCCAAATCAATTAAAACCTTAATCAACCAGGACTCTTGTCATAAGTAAGTGTAAAACCCATACAGCATTTCAAGAATGAATCAAAATATTACCAAATTTAAAAATATGCATTTATTTATGAATATATTTTGTATATTTGTAATCGCATATATATATATATATACCTAATAAAGTAAATGCTGTGATAAAAACATTTAACTGAATTGACCAGTCAAGTCAATTGACCAAATCGTATTTGACCGATCAAACGCCAAACCCTGATTTTAACTGAGATCTAACAAGCACTCTAAGGATGGGATTTAATATTATGGTAATAAAAAAAACCAGATAATAAAATTGAACATCTTTTATATCATTAGTTAAAATTTAATCAAAAATTTGCCTTTAATTCCTGAATCGGTTCTAAAAGTCGAGCGCAAATGATTTAATATTACATTCTGTAAAACATTGCACGATTCATTTTGGATGGTTTAAACTGTATAAAATATAAGAACGGTAGGTCCATCTTCCATATTCTGATATGTATGAAAGGTTACTACTTTTTAAATGTATCTACATACAGATAGACTTAAAAAGTAATACGTCTTTTTCTAAACTTCTATAAAAAATGATTAAAAATGGCAACATATTTTACCGTGCATAAACTCGAAGAGCTTATTAACGACCGTTTTGAGGAACTTCCAATGGGCCTTGAGGAAACGCGGGTACTGACCAACCACGTACATTATATCCGAGGCCACGATGGCCTTGTTATCCTTGCCCCTCTTCTGTTCACAAAGGTAAAGCAGATCCTTAATCACGGTTACGAGAAATCGTTTCTCGTCATCTTCGCACATGGCGCCACTTATAGAACCTATGGCCCAACAGAGCTATAAATAATTTTTTTAAGATAATAAAAAGTAAACCAACAACAAAACTAAATCCGCCCCCATCCCCTCACCCCACCTATCTAATGTTCTTTCGTATTTTATTCATTGTTGCCCATCCTAAGCTTTAATCCCTCTTCTTCCGTTCTTGGGAAAATGAAGAATGTAGGCATCTCCCTCTCTTTTTGATGTGCCCCAAAATCTCTTATGATTCGGGCTATAAAATCATATCACCCTAGCTACCCTTATTGACAGGAACGAGAATATCTGATTTTGTATCAAACGATATTTTTGGGAACTACGATCTAGTAGAGATGTTAGTCAACAATTAGCCAATCCAGATGGAGCCAAATAGTTTTTTTCTTATTTTTGTAAAAAAATAAGTTAAAACTTCATCATGCCTTATAACAATCTCATTGAGAAACATGAGCTATCAATTTTATATTCAGATTTCACATTGAATTTATTTTAAATATATATAACGTCATCTAAAGCAAAAATATTAAATTATAAAAATAAATAACCTAAAGTTTATTTTCCTTGTCGATCAATTTGTATTACAAACTTTCTATAGTTAGGGGAAATGACTATAATACTAACTTAGACATTTCAATTATTAAAAGTTTACAAGCATTGAAGTCAGCTGTAGTCAATGTCATAGGCTGTAAGCACGTGATATTGAATAACAGCTCTATTGATTAAACGCCTTTCAAATTTCGTTTAAATGCCTTTCAATGGCGATGTATGCAAACTTTCAAATGCATTTTAATGAATATTAGTCTGTCTAAAGTAGTATCAATATCATTGGTTAAGAAGAAGGGAAGTACTAACCAATTAAAAGAGAGCTAAAGGTTACAAAAAGCTGTTTTTAACCATTGAATTTTTTCCCCATTGCAATACCATAATTTACAGTTGTTTTTAAAATAAAAAAAGAGCATTTCGTTGTCAATTTCTTACAGCGTTCAAATTTTTCCAAGACCATTCAGCCCCGGTAACTTGCTTCTCCAATTTATCCAACATTATTTTTTCGGTGTCCGCGTAATCCAAATGAGTCAAATAAACTATATAAATTTCGTAATATTTATAAATATAAATAACTTATAAGAATATACTTTTGAAATGTATCTGTTAAGACTTTAAAGAAACCCTTCACGTTTAAAAAGATAATTCACACATTTAATACGAAAAAAAAATATACGGACCAACCTGGGTACAATTTAAGAAACTAAAATACAGCACGGCCTCTGAACCCAGGCCAGGCCTGTATACTCCAAATGAAGGATGCATGATAAAAAAAAAATTTACCCAATGTCTCCCTCATATTCTTGTAAAGGTTGATGGCATCGGTATCCTTCATGAATTCTCTGACTACCTCGCCCTGATCATTTTCGACGACCAATACTTCTTCGGGTCTAGCCATCCTGCTCACTATTATGACTCGTAACTATATATATATATATATAAAATAGATATATATATATATTTTTTAAGACTGTCCACATAAAACGATTATCTTGATGTAGGTGATTAAATACAGGATTAACCAATCCAGACCGTCTGATATGGCAGAGCCTGTCTGATCTATGCTAGCTAGATTTAAATATTAATTTTTACATATATTAAAAAAATTCGAACATTAAATACAAAAAACTGGTCCAAAAAAATAATAAACCACAAAATCTTTGAAATTCATATATTAGAATTTTTTGTCTTGGGTATTATCTCCTAGTATATATATTAAAGGGTGACTGACTTTGGTCAAGATTCCCCTGTAAAGCCTCCATCTTTGGGGTATCTCCGATAGATTGGTTCCCCCGGAACTATTGTCAGTGCTGGCACAGTTGAAAATATAGGAGGAAACGGGCTTTTCGCGGTAAAGAGAGGAAGCCAGGTGATTCCAGTACTCGAGACAAATCTTGAAAATCTCGATTTCTTCTACGCGAGATATCAAGAGGAGATAGTAATGGCCCTGAATAACATTTTATTGCGAATGATAATTATATTATTGATCAAAATTTGCATGGCAGCGGTTATTAAAATTATCTGGTTATAAATGCCTTGCACCTCGAAATTGGCCACTAGATCGGCGGTTAATTATTCTGTATTAACATCTCCATCTTAAAAAAAGTTATTAATAGGTGTTAGAATCGGCCAATGGAAATTTGTTTGAAATTGGAAAGACGAACAAACAAGTGCCCAAAACCATCTCAATTGCCGATACTAACCCCCCCTTTAACATATTCTAAAGTTTTATAAACATTCCAAGATGGTCAACCATTATAAATGAGGAGCCAATCTTGTGCCAATCACGAGATGTACACAATTATAACCATATCATTTTGTTACTGGCAAAAAAATATAAGTGCCGCCTTATAAAATGTCAAATGTTTATAGAAATTTCTAAAGCTCGGGTTTTGTAGGGATTCTCGAAATCTACTTTATTATGGAAGTTTAGAAAAATATATTTTAAAACAATGCTTCATTTGGATAAGTTAAATCAATGACTTGTTTTAGAGCCTCGGCGTAACCCCCAACAGCATTCGTGTGGTCGCCCATATCACCGTCTATACCGTTACCCATTTTAGAGGGGTCATCGCTGGTGATTATAGTGTCGGGTAGTTTTAACTCCATGAGAGGTTTAGTGCCATCTTCTTGGAATGCCTTGGTTTCCATGAGAGTTCCTTATAATTTTGTCAAAAAATAACTGTACATAATCAACAATTGTAAATCGATTTGTGCACAGAATTAAAAAAAAAATACATAACTGATTTGCCTGCAATATCAAAAATAACAAAGTTTGATTTAAAAAAAAAAACTTAATGTTAACTATACGAAAAAAAAGTAAGACTAAATTCTAATATAAAAATAAACTCCGAAAGAAAAACTACTGAATTAAAAAGCTAAATTCAGAATTATAAAGTAAAGGGAACACAGAACTGAAACTTGGATCTATATTTTTATTAAGTCACAGTAAGTAAAAATTCAAAAGTTTTATTATAATTAAAAAAATCATGAAAAATTAAAAGTGATTCTTTGTCAAAAAAAATCAACAAAATATTAATAAAAAAATGACTGACATTTCTTTAATTATATACAATTGATAAAACTAATATATATATATAAATTGATTGACATTATATTAGAAAATGTATCATTTACGACATGCCACCCCTTTATGGGCTGTGGAACGCCTATAAACACACAAATAAACAAAAAAAAATATATATTTTAAAATAAAATTGTCACGGTATATATACTTTGGAACAAAAAAATGGTCGATATATAACGGTGTTGCATGATCAATTAAATTGCTATAACAGATTTATAAAATTTTATAAAGTCCTTCGATTTTATTTGGTTAATTTAATAATATCATGATTACCTTAAATATTTCAAAAAAATAGCTAATTTCAATGTGAATGATCCATTGTGATAGTGAATATAACTACGGGAAACACCACACTCGAAAGGGACAATATATATTTCCTAAAGCATCAAATTTCGGAATTGTCATTAATATTATTTTAAACATCAACATTATTTTGTTTTGTCGGTGATAATAAAATCTTTGTCAAATCATCTGCTTCGTTTTCCACTTCGATCTTTCTTTGTCTGCGATATCCATTCGTAATAAAGGATGTTCATTGCCTAAATTCATCATTGGTGGTACTGTGGTATTCCTTTGTGGAGTTTTGGGATAACGAAGACGTTATTATTATAAGACGAATGTTTCAAAAAGCCTGTTTCTGGCAAGATGTGAAAAGTGGCCACATAGAGGACTGTAGCTCCATGAATGACGTAACCATATCGTAAAGGGATTGGATCTCTATTTATCTACATTGACGTTATACATCGTAATCGGGTGGTTGTAATTGCTTTGAAAGGTGGAGTGGTGGAGTAAACGATAAGTCATGAGCATTGCTTCGATAATCAACTGGACACGAAGGAGAAACAAACTTTAAAAAAAAACTTTACTTAAAAATTTTAACCAAAATTTTTATGAATAGAGATCTAAATTATTATAAAAAAAAAACTATATGAAAAAATTTATTATAATATATTTAAAAACAAAAACTTATAATATATTTTACAAAAAAAAAGTTATGGTCTGATGTTATTTAAAAAAAAAAACTTATAATATATTTTACAAAAAAAAAGTTATGGTCTGATGTATTAATGTATACTATTTGCGGTGCATACATTATAACAAAAACAAAACCTATTTCTCCCATGTGCTTCAATTTTCTCAATAATATTATTACACTATCCCTTGGTGTGAGCGTTGAGTGAAACAAACAACAGAACACTCTAACTCACTCACATATGTTATTTAAAAAAAAAAACTTATAATATATTTTACAAAAAAAAAGTTATGGTCTGATGTATTAATGTATACTATTTGCGGTGGATACATTATAACAAAAACAAAACCTATTTCTCCCATGTGCTTCAATTTTCTCAATAATATTATTACACTATCCCTTGGTGTGAGCGTTGAGTGAAACAAATAACAGAACACTCTAACTCACTCACGCGAATCCCCCAAAATTAATATTATTCATTACTACTTTTAAAAATAAGTAAGGAAAAATTTTTGCAACATAGAACTGGGAGAAAAATGTTTAATACATCAACCATCTTCTTACCAAATGTTTAAGTTGACCAACATTAATATCACCAGCTATTTGAATACCCTTTAAAAAAAAACTTTCTATTAATCTCATAGAAGATATAAACAAAACTTGTCTATTCAATTACGAAAACATCTTTTCATTACATTTAAAAAAAAAAAACTTGTCTATTCAATCACGAAAACATCTTTTCATTACATTAAAAAAAAAACTTTCTATTCATTTAATAAAAGACAAAAACACAACTTGTCTATTCCATCACGAACATCTTTTTAATAACATTTAAAAACAAAAACTTTCCATTTTATAAGCATATTTACAAAAAAAAATTATACTGATTCAAGAACATTCCTTAACGCCACCAATGCAAGAAAAAAAAAACTTTCCAATATCATTAAAATGGTAAAAAGAAAAACTTTTAATGAACCTGTCAAAATTGAGCTATAATTTTAATCAAACTGACCCCCAAACCTGAGCCGATTGAATTATTACGAATATGACCACGTATTCGAAACCCGAACCGATATGAACCCAAAAATGAGACGCTTCTTATTTATCCCAATCTTACATGGTCGTGATGACGAATCACGGTCACCCCTATTATTAACAAAATTTCACTTAATTTCGAACCCCGGTTCAATATGACCCGACCCCTTTCCCATTTGGTTGCCCGATTGTACCCAAACCTTTTGTCCCACGGCAAACCGTACCCCTAATTTTACTTCCATTGAGGTAATACTTTTCTTCTTCGGTTTTAAGAAATCCAAAGGACCCCGTGTTCGCCTACCTAAAAATAACTCGACAGGCGTAACCCCCTCTCGATTACGAGAATTGAAGTAATATAATTGAGACATGTAAGCCTCCTCTTTATGGGTTCCAGCCTTTTTGATCCAATTTTTAACAATGGCTACCATCCTCTCAGCTTGTCCATTCGAGCTGGGATGATATGGTGGAGCTAGAATGTGTTTTGTCTGTGACTCAACACAAAACTGTTTAAAATCTTCACTGACAAAGGCGGGACCCCCGTCAGACACTATCGTGTCGGGAAAACCGAACCGAGCATATAATTCTCTTAATTTTTTAACAACAATTTTTGTGGTATATCCATGTACTTCTGCATATTCTATCCATTTGGAATATGAGTCTACCACTAAAAAATATGTTTTTTTATCCAGATCAAAGAAATCAATGTGGATACGTTCCCAAGGTTTCTTTGACTTGGCGAAATGAAAGGAGTGAATCATCGCACTACAATAATCAAAATGATTATGCCATGGGACCATCGGCGTACGAGTATGAAGAAGTCAAGGCCAAACCCTTTTCCAAAGGGAAATTTCCAAAGAGGAAGGACTCTTCTAGGCGCCCTCAGAATGCACTCCATAAGCTGTCCATTTCTGACCATAGTGATACCTTTCACAACAAATCTTCGTCCATGTCATCGGATTCTAAACGTGATCCCGGTGAGCATGAAGAAGCCAGAATTCTACATATGAATGGCTTATCTTACATCTTACATCTGACCGAATCATGCTACAATAAGATGTTAAGGATCAACTCTTATTTCGGTAGATCTATCAGTCCAGCGATGTGGAATTACTACTGTATAATTCAACTCTGGAGGCGAATATATAATATTATGTTCGCGCAAGGTAATGATCCGGATTTCAAATCAAAGAAATTAGAAAATATACTACCATCCGTTATGGTAGTTCCAAAACCAATACACAATTATCTTTTGTGTATTGGGAACATAGTCGATCCAAATGGGAGAGAATGGGAATTGCTCCTTGCCCATCTCCAGCTCACCAATGATTATGTGGTAACAGGACAATTAATCAACGGGAGTTTCGGACAAATTCAGCCTGACACTGTATCAAAATACATGTCAACTCCAACGCCAGTTTTTCTTTCTGAGTTTATTTTTATATTAGAATTTAGTTTCGCTTTTTTTCATATAGTTAACATTAGTTCTTTGTTTAAATCAAACTTTTTGTTTATTATTTTTTCCCTCTTTTTTCATTGGTTACAATTTAAAAACTGCCCTCCAATAGAAAGAGGGTATTAAATTCTTAAATTTAAAATTTTTGGGTTTAAGGATACAATTTTTTTTTAATTAAGGATGGACGTTTAAACTATCTCATAGTGATATTCAATTTTGCATAAGACATAAATGCAGTCAAATAATTGACGGCATATTTATCAGCTGGCTTTGTAAATTTAAACTTATAAATTAAGTTACCCTATTTTGATTGGTAGATGGAAATAAAAGGAATTCAATAAGGTCAATAAGAATGTCTGAACTCTGCTATTGCTATTGATTTTAGAATCAACACATCGGTCTACAATAAATAAATATGGCTACCAATTAATGATAAAGGGCAATTCCATGTCAAATGTGCAAGAAAATCAAGATTTTCGGCCCAACCCTTATCAATTTCGATATTTAAATAAAATTATATCGCTAATAATGGATAAAAAAAAAAGGTATGGGGTCAATAATAGGCTTTTTCTATCGTTAAAATCTTATTAAGATATTGATCAATGGGAAATATCATGTACATCGAAAAATTTATTTTTTTACTAAAAAAATTAATATTCAATATGCAAAATATTATTCGTAAAATCTATTTTATTGCCTTGAAATGATTTTAAAAGGTATAAAAAAGCCATGTTTGAAATGTTAATATAAAGCGACATATATACGTTTTGCATACATTATTTGTGATATTTTTTTTAAAAATAATTATCCAGCTGTGCTAATTAGTTAATTATTGAAGAAATTATAAGAAAAATAACAAATAAATAATAGAAAAAAAGGCTCTGAAATATTAATTTATAATTATTTAACTGGACACAAGATGACCAATATTTTGATAAAATATTAATATAATTGCTAATGAGCTAAAATTTTGCTTAAGGTATTGCTAGAATATATACAAAACGTGCTTACAAATTTTTTATCGAAAATGAAAGGGTCAGCTGATGGGTGCTTAATTTGACAAGGAAAGACCCTAAATCCTTCAAGTAAACCAAATATTGTGTGTGCATGATTTCATCCCAAAGCCAAACAGTGACATTAATATTAGTCAAGACTGATGATGATTGACAATCATTCATTAAAGTGCCACTAAAAAAATGCGTAAAAAATTGAAGTCCGCCCATTAAAAGAAATTAAGACGAAATGTAAAAAATATGGCTCTCGACTACAGCTGACTTCCAAAGTGCGCATACTCACCGTGTTCTTTGAAAAAGGTGGAGAGGAAAAGGCTCAGATTCTGGATGAAATTTTGTTCGTGGTCTGTTCCCTTGGCATAAGCTTGAGCCAAATCGGTCGTGGTGAGTGGTATCAGGGTTTGAAGTTTAGACATGGTCAACATGTACAAGTTGGCGAATTGCTCATCGTATTGGGGAGTTCTTAGGCCAGCTGTTTGTAATTTTTTTTTTCGCAACATTTTGTTTTAAAAATATATATGTTGCTAGAATCCTATAATGGGATAAATATTATTTAATTTTAATTGGCTAGTTAAAAGGTCATATATTACGAACAAGCTAACAGGGCAACCATTATAATGTTATCAATGGGGTAAAAATTATGTATTTGTACAGGGGGTAGAGTCCATCAAAAATATTATCAGAAATCAAATAATAAGAAAGAATAAAATTTTATTTTATATAATACCTTATTACAAAGATAATTACTTTTCCTGGCAAATTTAATTAAATAAATTTCGACGTAATTCATTTAAGCTGAAATTATTATCAAGTGTGTTTTTACCTATTTCTGTCAAACATTGCAATGTAACGTTTCTGAACAAGGGCACCGTGAGAAACTATACGCGTCAATAATAATGGAATATATTATTTGATATGAGAATATACATGTTGCGATCTTATTCACTACAGCTTATATAGTCAAAAATTGAAGTTTAAAGTTATTACGATTAATATATGTGTGAATGTGCTAAGAACAAATTATATAATTTTATTTCAAAAATGTAAGATAGTTTTGGGTCCTTAAAGTAACGATATTACAAGCATACACCTATCTAATTCGTTAATAAATATTAAATTACCTCGATTTATAGAAGTAAGAAACACATAAATATATTTAAAAAATTTTAACATACAGCATGGGATTTTAAAAAAAAATACAAACTTCACTCAAATTTTTTCTTTAGAGAATTGAGAGAATAATTTAAAATACCCTGGCTATTAAGGTGGTAATCAATTTGGTTTCAAATATGTATCCCAGTGGAATCCAGCTCAGGAATCTTAGCAGGGTCTCCAAGGTGGCTAAAACTAAGGGAGCATTTTCAGAATTATCCTTATAAATTATATGAAAAGATAGTTTTGTTGTAGATATTCATCTTACATACATATATGTTCAAAATAAACAATCAAATTCATGCTTAGAATGTTGGAAAATAGATGTCCTAGCATTTCTGCCATCTATTAGCAAAATTTTTAGGCTTACATAATGTTGTTTTGGTTGTCATCTTAATTGGGCGGTTTTATAAAATCGACCCGTATCGGGCTTATTAACAACACTAGTAGTGAAGGTCACGGTCCGGTCTTTGGTCCGGACTGGACCACGGTCCTTAAGAAAAAGATCGATCCAGACCGTGGTCCTAAATAAAAAACATATTTTTTTAACCTAATTTGATTTGTTTTATAATTTTATTAAATATAAGAGTATTATATAAACAATAAAATTTATCCAATGGTATTGAAGAAAATGATTTTGTGCATGTGGAGGGAATATTAAAATTAAGAGTAGATTGTGTTTTTTGAGACATTTTCATCATTAGAAGTGTATATTTTATGTTTTATCAGATGTCTGCTTAAGGTGCCTAATTATTTTATTAAGAATAAGGTTAAGTAATTTTTACAATAAATTATACAGACAGTTTCTTGAGAAAAAATAGAACTATATAATAACCAAAATATTTTAATAATATTACTGCTTATTTTGAATAATTTATTGCTTAAAAAATTATAAACAATTATTTTGTTACTAATTGCTGACGATACATTAAATTTGGTACTGCAGTGAACGCATACTCTATGTTTTTTATTGGGACTATAAGTAAAATGTTTCTTGGACAAACTTATGGTTTTCATATTGTAAAATAAAAATTAACAAAATCTAAAATAACTCCTCTAGAAACATATCATAAAATAAAATATACAAAAAAATTAAATTAATTGAATAGTAAAGCAAACTTAAACAATAATAAAAGACTGGTCCGGACCGTAAAAATAAAAAACCGGTCCGGACCACGGTTTTTAAAAAAAGATCGGCCCGGTCCGATCCCGGTTTAAGACCGATAGGACCGAACCGTTGACCTTCACTAAACACTAGCTTAGACTAAGCGCAAGTCAAAGACTGGGGTAGACCTGTCACCACACTTGAGCTTTTAAAAAAAATACTTTCCAAGAAACCAATAAAATGCTATTGGTGATTTAATAAAATCCATAAATTAATTACTATATTTATTTATGTTTATTTCGTAATAGAGAAAACATGCGAGTATCATTTATAAGGATTATCGAATTTTGAAAATAAACAACAATAAATTTCTAATTTTTTTTATGTTTACCAACACAAACTGGCACAGTTGGAATATTTGCATAAACTCCTTGCACATTTGATCCTTCAGATGTTTAATCTTATTTTGGGTCATCTGGCCTAACGAAAAATCGAACACCTCCTCACTTTGATCATGTTTATACAAAATAGAAAATCCATTGTATACTGAGCATAGTGTAAAATAAAATATGAATAATATTTTAATTTTTGCAAAATGCGCTGATGCGCCAATACCCGTGGCTGGCACTCAACATTTCTGAAGCAGAGACCTGCAGGCCCGGCCCTAAACCGACCCGGTTCGGGTACACGAGCCGGGCCGGATTTTTATTTCTTTAAAGATACCCGGGCCAGGCTAGGCCAGGCCGTACAAATGGTATCTTTGCAGGTGTCTGGTTTAAATAGTTGTAACTGACCATGAACATCGATAAGACAACTCATCATTTAAGCCCATTTCAAAAAAGAAACCGATATTCGATTCGAATAAACGAATAGTAAATTTTCCCGTTTTATTATCATCTCCTTCATAATATATAAAATAGAATCGAACAATTCAAATTGAAAATATTGACGGAATTTTGTTATCTGAGACCTACAGCGGACCGACCCTTAGCCTGGGTCGTTTATTTTAAATGGTCTTTATTAGTATATAAAAACAAGGATGCGAAGTCAAATACAAAACCCGAGTCGGACCGTAGTATTTTACAAAAGCTTGTGATACAATATAAGTAAATCATAAAATATTATATTCAAGGAATTTTGGAAAGCGAGCGATATACCTGGAACTTCCAGCTCCAAAATTTATAACTTGAATAAAAGCCGGAAAATTATTATTTTGTAAAAAAATAAATCCATAATATTTAATAAAAAAGGCCTTTAATAGGTTACCTATTAATATATAATTTGTATTTTTTTTAGTATCGTTATTTTTTAAATTATCTCAATTTTTTTTTAAAAAAATCGTATTTTGCGAAAAATGGTCATTTTTGGCACTTTTGACCTATTAATACTTGGTAGAGTATAAAATTTTTAGTTCGAAGTTTTCTAATGATATTCTCACAGTACTCAAAATTTTATCAAAAATTTAAAAAGTCGGGCGAAAAAGTCATCGATTTGGTATACATATATTATATAGAAATACCCATAAATATTCTTTAAAATATAAACATTTTAAAGATTTTACCGAATCGATAGTCACTATTTTTGGCACCTATAAAGGATATGGATTATTTTATTTTTGTACCCATCTAAATAATTTTATAAAATTTTAAAAATTTTTAAAAAGGGGTCGGTCATATCGTGACAGATGTTACATGGAATGGCCCATTTATGTTCCACTGACTGAAGGACAAATTTAAAGATATATATTAAAAACTGATATAAAATAATGGATGTCTCCTGGAACTTATAAAGTTTTAGCAATTAAAAATTTTGCAAAGTAACAAGTTATTCAAAATAAAATATTACCGACTTTCTTTCTTAGTTGAAAATCTCAAATTTTTAATATGAAAAAAAATGGGAAAATTGAAATCATGGTTCATTTATAATATGAATTTAAGGTAATATGATTTTGAAATTGAAAATAAGATCGACAATGTATTCTAAGGAGTAATATGCAGGAATTATAACTTTTCGTAAGTATACAGATTTTAAAACTGTAGATTTAAAGGTCTTTATGAATCATCTCGAAAGATCCAATAAAATGAATGCACTCCCAAAAGTCTTAATGTGCGTATATATACATATGCTAACATATTTGCAGGTAAAATTGGCAAAGAAAATATCAATTCAAGACAAATTTCTAAACCACAACTCAGGTTCCCACTTTTTTAAGGCTAACCACTCATCTTTTGTTGACCAGAATTTCTAAACTACAACTCAGGTTCCCACTTTTTTAAGGCTAACCACTCATCTTGTTGACCAGAATTTCTAAGCTAAATAACTTAATAGTGCAAAGTATATTCAATCATTTGAACTGAATACAAAAAGATACCATTCGATTCATGTTTATATTTGATTACACGAGGTGTGCATACTTTTGTTAATCGGCTTAGCCGAGTCGGCCCGAACAGAGCTGACCTTCGTTTTTTTCGACCTCGACCCGAGTTCAAGCCGAAAAAAACGATCTCGACCCGAGATATGGGTCGTTTTTTTCGACTCAGACTTGAAGTTTTTTTTTAGGCCAATGTTTAAAAAAATATATTCTGCAAACATATTAAATTAAAATTTCAGTGAAGATGTACCATAGGAAGGTGACGATTGTCATAATCGTCATTTTTAAACTTTTTACAATTTTTTTTAGACAAATGGGTAGCAAACATGTTAAAATAAAATTTCAGTGAAGATGTACCATAGGAAGGTGACGATTGTCATAATCGTCATTTTTAAACTTTTTACAATTTTTTTAGACAAATGGGTAGCAAACATGTTAAATTAAAATTTCAGTGAAGATGTACCATAGGAAGGTGACGATTGTCATAATCGTCATTTTTAAACTTTTTACAATTTTTTTTAGACAAATGGGTAGCAAACATGTTAAAATAAAATTTCAGTGAAGATGTACCATAGGAAGGTGACGATTGTCATAATCGTCATTTTTAAACTTTTTACAATTTTTTTAGACAAATGGGTAGCAAACATGTTAAAATAAAATTTCAGTGAAGATGTACCATAGGAAGGTGACGATTGTCATAATCGTCATTTTTAAACTTTTTACAATTTTTTTTAGACAAATGGGTAGCAAACATGTTAAATTAAAATTTCAGTGAAGATGTACCATAGGAAGGTGACGATTGTCATAATCGTCATTTTTAAACTTTTTACAATTTTTTTTAGACAAATGGGTAGCAAACATGTTAAAATAAAATTTCAGTGAAGATGTACCATAGGAAGGTGACGATTGTCATAATCGTCATTTTTAAACTTTTTACAATTTTTTTTAGACAAATGGGTAGCAAACATGTTAAAATAAAATTTCAGTGAAGATGTACCATAGGAAGGTGACGATTGTCATAATCGTCATTTTTAAACTTTTTACAATTTTTTTAGACAAATGGGTAGCAAACATGTTAAAATAAAATTTCAGTGAAGATGTACCATAGGAAGGTGACGATTGTCATAATCGTCATTTTTAAACTTTTTACAATTTTTTTTAGACAAATGGGTAGCAAACATGTTAAATTAAAATTTCAGTGAAGATGTACCATAGGAAGGTGACGATTGTCATAATCGTTATTTTTAAACTTTTTTCAATTTTTTTTAGACAAATGGGTAGCAAACATGTTAAAATAAAATTTCAGTGAAGATGCACCATAGGAAAGTGACAATTGTCATAATCGTTATTTTTAAACTTTTTTCAATTTTTTTTAGGCAAATGGGTAGCAAACATGTTAAAATAAAATTTCAGTGAAGATGTACCATAGGAAAGTGACAATTGTCATAATCTCATTTTTGAACTTTTTTCAATTTAATTGAAGCAGAGAGGATAGAAATATATACTGTAAACATGTTAAATCAATTTTTCAGTGATGAAAAACTTAAAATTAAAATAGCCATGTTGATAATTTTTTTGGAATATTTTGAAGAAAATAAAAAAAAATTTGGAAGTATTGTAAAAATATGGTTAAATTAGACGCTACTATATTGAAAAAACAGCGGAGACTCTTATAAAAACAGGCTTTGAAATACTAATTATAAATAAAATCAGTTTTCCAAAAATAAATAGGTATTTATATGAGATAGTTTGCCACCATTAATCTTTTTCTCGGGTTCTTCTGCACTAAAATACAAAGAAGATTATTGATTTAACATGTTTGTCAAAAATGACGACGAAATTTAAAAAAAAACAGAAATAGAAATGACAAATTAGAAAACTAAATAAAAAGAACTATTTGTGCAGACAATCCAAACTGGCAAAGATCTAAATATAGAAATACCTTATTCAAATTATAAAATCACAAAGAAACGTAAGGTTTTTTTTATACACTTTTATTTTCTTTAATATTCATAAAAAAATTAAAATCTTTTTTATTCAAAAATATTATAATTTACGACAATGTTTTATACATTTTTATCTATCTGCTTCAAATTCAAAAAGGTTCAAAAATGACGATTATGACAATTGTCACTTTCCTATGATACATCTTCAATGAAATTTTAATTTAACATTTTACAAAATATATTTTTACCTATTTGCCTTTAAAATATTCAAAAATGATGATTATGCTTTCCTATGATACATCTTCAATGAAATTTTAATTTAATATGTTTGCAAAATATATTTTTACATATTTGCCTTAAAAAATTAACTTCAAGTCTGAGTCGAAAAAACGACCAAACTTCAAGTCTGAGTCGAAAAAAACGACCCAAATTTTGGGTCGAGATCACGACTCACGGCGTTTTAACAACACTACATACTTTTAATGCCCCCCATTGAAAGGTATATTGATTGAATGTGATTGGTAGTTACTAATAATAATTGACATCGATTACAGATGACTTCAATGTACGTGTACTTTTAATAAATAATTGCCAGTCTAGACTCTTATTATTAATGTAATTATATTGAATAGCCAATTTTTTAAAAATGGCTAAAACAAGACTTTAGCCCAAAAAAAAATAATATCATCTAAGCCTCAAGATGCTAATATACATGTCAAAACATGTCTGTCATCATAAGCAAAATCAGGTTTGGGTAATATTTCTTGCAAAAATGTTGACAAAGTCATTAATGTACTGGAAATTTACTAAAAACCAATATATATATATATATGATAAACAAACCCAAACTTATTAAAATATTTATTCATTGTTTTTTTGTTTTAATAATTTAATTTATTATTCCTCTGTATAAAAAAAAATTATCCACCAGCTATTCATTTTGATCAAAATTAATGAAACAAAATATAAGTTATTATATAATGGTAGAAAAAGTCAATTTAATGTAATTTTGGGTTTATTTAAACATATATTTTGTTAGAATAAATAAATTGTTTTTGGTATCTGACAATTAGTATGAGTTGGGCAAAAATTTAAGATATCAGCAGTATAAATGCATCTTTGCGAAAAAAAAATAATTCAATTTAAATATCCAATATATATATATACCTTAATAATTTAAGAATAGCCATGTTGTTCTGGCACAAGGATTCCTTTGTTTTGCTTGAGCCAACAATTTCACCAATGAAAGTGGGCCAATTATGTGGCCATTCTTTTTTTAAAATCTAAATATTTTTTTTTAAAAAAAAGCATAATTATAAACAATTAATTCTTTGCATATTATATACTAAATAATAATAATTTATAAACCTGAACTAATATTATGTTCAATTTTCCTAAATAAATTTTCTCCTTTTCCAAAGATTCGCCATTTGACGATAATTTAATTATTAAGCTGACTATATACTTTTTGATACCTATAATATAATTTATTATAAAAAAAAGTGCTTTATAAATTATAATACGAGGGGATTGGAAATTTATAAATTTTTTAGCAAAATATTTATTTTTACCATTATCAGAATAAGGGTATATATATTTCAAAAATTAAAATTATTAGTTTTTATATATAATAGTATTAATATTATAATTAATATATGGTATGGTAGAGATAGATAAGGCATATCTGAAACCTGAGGGCAAAAAGATTTTAAGACATATTGCGGCAATATATTTTAATGGGTGAGCTGAGGTCCACAAATTAAGGGTTTGAATTATAAATTCGCAAAATTATTGCAGGCTGGTTGGTTTAGGCAAAAAAAAATTAAACAAACCATGCCAAAAGCATTTTAAAAATAATTAGATAGGTCATCTTGACTATGTAAACTATAATACAACCTACTTCTCATTACAAGCTTATGAATTAAAATAAAAACATTCAAAAACTTTAAATCTTTATTATTTACATTATATACAGTATTATAGAATCTTTGGCTAAATTAAATTAATGTGATTTAAGTGTATAGTGTGGCTAACCCAAATCTGAAACAAAGTTAATGGAAGTTATAAAAAATTAGTAAATGGAAGAAAAAAAATTTATCTTATTAATATTGAGTTAATATTTCTTTAAACTTTTTATCCTTGAACTTGGACCTAAACCACTTTTTTTTGTAGGGGTTCACATTCAAGATTAATGATGAATTATAAAAATTATTTATAAATTGTTGCAATATGTAACTAGGTATGTTTGAAATTTAACTGTAACTAGTAACTTTTGAAATAATGTAATTCCATTTATTAAATTTTATCAAAAATTCATTGAATTTATTCAAATAATGAATAATAAAAATTTTCTGAATAATTAATATGATTTTTAATAAATGGTTCATTTGCTATTTCAATAAATAACCTATTAATCTGACAGTTAGTGTGATTAACAAGGTATACATCAACTGCTTATGAAAGGTTTTTCTTAGTTGGAACTAATTTGCTATTAAAAAATTGAATGTCTTATATTGCCTTAAAAATTTATTTCCTATTCTAAATATAAATTAATTTCGTTAATAATTTGATCACCAGATTATATTATATGTTTAAAATTAGGTGTACAATATTAAAAAATATGTAAACTACATTTTTATAATAAATTTTTGCTATATTTTAAAAAAAGGAAATATTCAAACCAATTCATACATTATAAATAGTAAATTATTAGATTCATTTAAATGAATCAATTAAAATGCCCCTTTTTAATGAACACCTAAAACATTATTTAAATTAATTATAAATATAAAAATAGATTTTTTCTTGTTGATTCATAAATTGATAACTCTAAAAATTTAATATAACTATTTTATTATTAATCCTTTGTTTTTATTTGAAAATACATTAATAAAAATTGCTTATAATTTATTATTACCATCACATTGGGCAGGTGGTAAAGCTTTCCACCTAACCTTTATGGCATTTTCTAATATTTGAAGTGCATAATATTTTGTTTGTTGATTTATTGAGAATTCTAATATTGTATCAACTCGCGTCCAAGCATCAGGATGTTCTTTCAAATGTGTTAAAATTTCTTGGGCCATCTTTTGCTACCAAAATTGTTCATTTTTAAGGTAAAAAATTAATACCTGAGTGGGATCTCCTGTATATAAAGAAGTAATAACCTGGTCTAACAAGTTAATATCAAGTTTTTGTCCAAAATCTAGAAGCCTCTGAGCATTTTCTAATCCCATTGCCATTTTCTAGTACCAAATCAATATTTCTTGCCTTTTAAAATTGAATTACTGGTTTAAACTGGAATTTTTCTCATCAATCAATTGATTTTTATATTGAATTTGGAAATAACTTTATTTCGATTTATATTTTATTCAGCGAAATAAAAATGTTAGTTGTAAAATCAATAAAATAAATAATGAATATCTTTTAATAAAATTTTGACCTTATATTTAATTTTTCATTGAATCATATTTTTTTTTACAAACAAAATGAAGGACAGTAATACACGTTCTATAGGTCTATTGTCACGGCTATAAAAGATATATAGTGCGTTTTGAATAAGATATTATTGCTGGAATTTAATGGCTACATCATAAATATATAATTGTTATTTTTATGGGTGTATTACGATAGGGGAAAGGGGGGGGTGGGGGGGGTAAGCCCTCTGTTAATATTTTTTCTCGATTCACAGCTCCCATTTTCAAATTCTAAGTTGGGTCTGAATTCCTTCATTAAAACATTTAAATAATTTTAATATTTTTTAATGTTAAATTTTATTCTTTTTTTTATTATTATTGTTAAATTGAAAATTTTATATAGTCAAATATAGAAATGGTTTTCTTTTCCATATTATTTTAGCCACATAAAGAAGCTAAAAGTTTTATAATTATATATTTTTATTTTTACTAGTTTCATTTTCTATTTTAATAAAATAAAAATTTTGATTTCTCTCATTTAAAATTTTTGGATATTATATTCAAAAAATTAATCATGTTAAATATTTAAATAAAAGATAATAAAGTATTGATTACCCATTAATGTTCAAACACCCTCAAATTTAAAAATTTATAACCCCCCATATAAATTTTTATCCGCTTCTGATTTTATTTAAAGTATAGAATGATGTCACCTACCAGCAAGTCTAAAAAAGTTAACTAAATTTTTATCCAAAAATTATAATCATATCTTTGGTCATTTTAAACTTAGGATAACTCAAACTTGAAAAAATAAACGTTCAAGGCTTAGCAACTTTTTTCTTGTTAGGATTGAGCCGATTTAACAACAATATGTGTATGAAATCATTTTGACAAAATGTTTTAATGTTTAGATAAAAATTTGATATTTTTCAGATAGATAGGTAGGTAGTTAAAAGAGCTAATGTCGAAAGGTAAATATAATTTACAATTTAACTAATGAGATTCATACTAACCTATGGATGATTTTCGTTATAGGTGTACATTGAAGTCAGCTGTAGTCAATATCATTGATAAATATTTTATTTTACTGTCTTTCACATTTCTTCTAAATGCTTAACACCTTATTTAAAGAAAAAATAAAAAAAATATTAATTATTTATTTGGTGTTTTAAAAATTTGATCTAAATTATTTAATACTACCTTTGCAATAATATAAATTTATTGTTGTTAAACATAGATTATTATTATTATAATGGTTGTTATATAGCCCAAATTTTTGTATGTTACATTCATTTAATTAACACCAATATACTTAACTTAATAGTTTCATATAATTGTTTAATAGATTTTATAAAGAATAAATTTATTATATTTTTTTAGTTGTTATATTTACAAAATATATTTATTTAATAAAAGTTCTAAATCTTTTTTAATCTTGCTTTACTCCCTGCCAACCTATACAATTGTCAATCATACTTTAATGTAATTATAATGCTAAATAGATTTCAGGTTAGTAAAAACATAATTTTGAAATATAGTTAATTATATAATACTACTACTAATTCCGAGTTTAAATAAGCCCCATAGGAGAAAAAAAGGGTTCAAAAAAAATTATAAAGGTTCGTTTTAATTCCACTTAGGGTCTGTCCCTATAAAAGAAATGAATAAAAAACAAATATATAACATATCCTTATTTTATGAACATGACAAACAAAAAATAACATATATAGTCTTATACACCCTCCTATAATGTCAAATAATTTTCGATGCTTATATTTAACTTTCATCTTGGCTTAAAAGATTTTATTATATAAATATTTTTATTATTAATTAAGTCAATACTATTAAAACTGAGTTATATTGAAACTTTTTTTTTACTTTATTTTTTATATCATGATCTACGATTAGAACTTATTTTGACAATTTGCCTTAAGGTTAATTTTTATTTATTAATAAATATTGAGCTAATATCGTAGCCATCTCTTATATAGAGAATCTGACATCGGAACCCAGTGTAAATTTATTCTAGTTTTGGATAAAATCAAACATATACTCAGGAATACTTCGGAACCCAGTGTAAATTTATTCTAGTTTTGGATAAAATCAAACATATACTCAGGAATGCTTCTCATTCTTCTAATCTTCCTAAGAAAATGTCCTTTGTTAACATTTTTTTAAATATTAAAGTCGTATAATAAGTTATATCGTTTTCCTCGTCAGTAGATATAATCTTCCAAAAATTGACTTTTTAAACACTGAATTTATTAGATTGAGATTTCCATATGGAAACTGATGGTAGCTCTCCCGATAACAAGTTAAGTTAAAAAATTTTATATGTATTTTATCGTGATTTTTTTAAACGAAATTTAAAATAACAGATAATCCAAAATATATATCCCGATATCAAAAGTAACTCCAATTAAAATGTTTACACCGATGCAATGGGGTTATCATAAGATATATCCAGGTTATTATATAAAGATGTTATCCTTTTTACAATTTAATTTTATAAATATTTAATTTTTTAGAATAATAGCCTCGTTAATACTATCAATTATTATTTGATAGATGCAGGTACATTGTTCTATATATTCATAATAAAGAATAATTTAATGAATAATTCGATGTTACAATTGTTGAAATGTTTAACTTACAAAAGCTATGTACTAAGTTTTTTGGAGGCCTTTAATTGTAATATGACTAATTTATTGATTCGAGATGGCAGAGGTGGACATAGACAGTTATATCATCACATTATATAAAAATCAAAATTTATAAATTATTTGTAACTTTTCATTTATATAATTTTTTCTCTTATTAATGATTTAAATATATAAAAAATTTATATGTTATTTGGGGGTTTCATTATTCTAATTGTATTTGAAATGATGTGTTTATTTATTTTTATATTATTATATTGTTATTTAATTTTCTAATTATTATGGAACCATGTTTTTATATATAAAAATTTTAGAATGGAAATACCTAAATACTTTATTTGTGGTTGTGTTCAAAATTTTTCCCCAGGATGTTGTCAGTCACCTTTGGATACCCTTTTAGGCAAAAGCTAGCAGATTTAATCGGGTAAATTAATGTGTGAATATTTTCTCTGATCGTTTCTCTGCTTAGGTGGAGATTTTCCCTAGGGATAAATTATACATTCCCTTCTTTGTGTAAATTTTTATGAGTAAATGGGGACCCATCGGAATTCCACACACAGAGTTAATCGTGAAAAACTAAATTTTAAGCTTGTCTTTACAGATTTTCAAAATTAGGACTATCTTACCTTCATTTTAACAATAGGTGTAATAACTTAAAAACAATGGCAAAAACAAACACAAAAATTCAAAAACTATGTTATTTTTTAATAAAATTCTTATTTAGAAATTCCTATAAATTAGAAATTCAAACTAAGATACTCCAAAGAATCGTTTGCATTATAAAAGGATTGTGAAAAAAGTCGAAAAAAAGAATAGTTCCAGCGCTGACTCTTATCGAAATTACAATATAAAGAAGAATCAATGGTACATGGTTAATGATATAATGACTCTCTAATTTCATACCTAAAGAATTCTATTCGAATCTCAATAATTTTAAAAAATTTTCCTTCAAAATATATATAATATAGGCTAAAGGTTTAGAATAGAGTGTAAAAATCAAATGGAATATAATATAAGACTTTTTTTTTGTTACTTACATGTTATCCTTTCTCGATCATATAGTAAATTATTTTAAAATCATAGTGTCATTTAAAGATAATATGTGTTTTAATTAAAAATGGTTTCAACCTAATTGTCTGATATTTTGGGGTAGCTACATTTTTCCATTATTACTTGCAAAAATTCTTGCGGCAGCTTATACGTAATGACTATGATAGCATGTGCATATTGCCTCATTATATTTATGTTTATGGTTCTGAAACTGATTTCTAAACCAGGTTCAGTTTCAATCACTTTAAAAAAATGAGGAAAGACTTAAACTAGAAAATGATTTTGACTTGGAATCTAGATTGGTTATAGGCTGATTACTATTTTAAAAATGTTTAAGTGAAATAGTGCAGTGTACATAAGCGTAGCCAAAATTTTCCTAAGTGGGGGATTAAAAAATTACTGGGGGCTTCACAGACACCATTTTGGGTGGGCTTTCGGCCCGCATTTGCTCGAGCTACGGCCGAGTTACCTTAGTCTATATATAGTCATAAAAATTTTTTTTACAAGATATGAAATTAATTTTAATAAAAAAAATAAGCATGAAACAAATATGAAATATATTTTTATTAATTTATATCAGCGTAGCTACGGGGGTGGTTTTCGGGTTTGGACCCCTCCCAGAGCAAATTTTTTTTAGATTATACGTTCAAAAGACTTAGAAGTGACTTTGTATCAAATAAATACCATTAATATTTATAATTTTCTGGTTTTGATGTTTGTGGAAAGATATTATATTACTATTGAAATTATTCTGGGTAATATTGTTATAAAGTCATTGAGAATAATCTACTAAATTATAATAACATATTATTCGTGCATTTAAAAAAATATTTATTATATATTGTCAAAGATGTGGTTATGATTTTTAAAATAAACCCGGCCGAAGGCCGGGCAAAAGGGCCGAAGGCCCGTTAAAGGAGGTCTGGGGGCAAAACCCCCAGGATTTTATATGTATGGACCCCCTCTAAGGAAAATTCCTAGCTACGCCACTGATTTATATAAAATATAATAAATTACTTCTATATATATTAATATAAATGAATGGTAATAATTTAATCTAAACAAATATAATAAATTTATTTATAAAAAGTAAGTAGACATATAGTTAATATTCCTCTATTATATAGAATTGGTTACAAAATACTAAGTAAAATTCCACTTTAACAGTCATATTTGACAG